CGCAGATTCTTCGAGGATCTCAGGGAGGTGAGAAATCGAAAGACTCTCCGTCCAGATGGAGCAAAATTCGGCTGTGGCTCACGGACGCCGAGAACCGAAAGCGCTTTGCATCGATGGGAGCTGCAGGTGTCTTGAGCTACGGCGTTGTGTCGAACGTCAACTACATTCCCCTCTTCGCTGGGGCATGGTACCTCGTTTCGGCACGGACACACATCTCTCCAGCACATCAGTGGCCTGTCTTCCTCTCGACCTATGCCACTTTGTACGTTTTCAACAACGTGCTCCGGCCAGCGAAGCTTGTTGTTATCGGCTTCGTGACGCCCTGGGTGAATCGCTGCTTCGACTGGGTGATGACGAAGTTTGGCATTGGCAAAAAGCTCGCAGTTACTTTAACTTACTTCATCTTGAACTTGGGTGCTGTGCTGCTAATGGGCCTCAGCGTGCTTGGTGCCAGTGTGTTGGCCGGGGTTCCAATCTGGTGACCAACAGCTCCTTCGCATTTCAACCATAATTACCATTTTTGGGGATTCCTTATTATAATCTATTATACTTATAGTATAATCTACCCCAAAACCCTTTTTTGCTTATCAAGGCCCGGCTTTTGCTTCCGCCCTCCGCCTTTGGACGATTCCGCTCTCCCCGGCTCCGGCCTTCGTCTCCGACCAGAACTACGCCTGAGGAAGTCCAGCGCCGCGGCCCCTTCCGAAGCTCCCCACTGGAGTAGAGGCCACCGAATCTCTGAGGCGACTGCTCTTCGAGTGCGGTGATATGAAGCTTCTAAGCCGAAGCTAAGCTATGCACAAGTACTCGTAGCTTCCTGCTGTTGTTCCTCCCATGGCCTCTGTTCTTATCACGCACCTGAAGCTCCCATTCACCTGTGCGGTCCTCTTTATGGAGATAGGCACCGCCTCGAACCCGGCGCTACTTGTAGCACCGAAGCCGTGAAATGTAGCACTGCCTGGATGGAGCGTCTGGAGCCAAATTGTGTGGAGTCAAGCCGAGCCCATGATGGTGCTTGCACCCAACCTGTCCGAAGCATGCTCTCTTTCTGCTTTAGCTTGACCAGGAGGGTATCAAAGAGTCGGAAGACACAAGACACATCAACATATCCGTAGCTCCTGAGCCTGTCCCGACGACCTCAGCCTATGCCTCCATATGCCTCCCTGTTTTCCCCTAAGATCAGAGCCCTACCAGTAAGAAACTGCGCTACCCTCTTCGCCCCCATGGAAGATGGCGAAGGGCCCAAGGAGCCGGAGGAGGGCACCCAGGCCGGCCCAGAGCAAGCTTTCAAATCAAACCCTGAACCCCTAAAGAGCACAAAACACCCTCAAAACCCTGAAAGCTCTAAAACCACCCGAACCCAGCCGCCAACACCATAAGCTCTAAAAGCCCTCAAAGCCTACCTATAGTCTCCATCGTAGTTTATGTAAGGGGTTACCTTCTAGGATCCGAATTATACAATTTGGTTAAACCAACAAAAGGAGCTTCCATGGAGACTATGGGTACTTTCTCTTACCACAAAACTCTAAACCTAAGCCCTGTATAGAACTAGATCCCTTTAAGGAACCCTATGTCAGGTAATATCTATAATATAGATATATAAGGCCCTTGTTAGTAGCCCCATTATAGACTGTTACTGTATGGGGGCCGTACCCAAGGTAAACCTAAACCCTAAACCCTTTATAGAACCCTTATAGATCCCTTTAAGGAACCCTATATAAGGATCCCTTTAAAGGTACCCCCCCTAACCCAAAGAAAGCTTCAGGTCTCCTCCGAAGGCTGCGACTCCCAAAGTCCTCCAGCCGAAGAGCTTCAAAAGGCTGAAAACGAGGCCCGGCAAGGGCTAGGCTTTAGGGGTTAGGGCTTAGGAGTTTAGGGGTTAGGGCTTAGGAGTTTAGGGGTTAGGGCTTAGGAGTTTAGAGTTTAGGGTTTAGGGGTTAGGGTTTAGGGGTTTGGAGTTTAGGGTTTAGGAGTAGGGTTTAGGGTTTATAGAGTAATCCAACATGGCTTAATTAAGGAATATACCTTGAATCCCATAGGGATCCTACTTTAGTGGTTTGGGTATCTCTGGGAACTAGCCTTAATTTAGGGTTATAGCAGTTATCAGGTTTCGGGTGATAGTAGGTGTTCTAAGTAGGGTCTGGTGCCATTTTGGTGTAGGGTTGCTGTTAGGGCCCTCCGGAATGGGTTTAGGGTGACTAGCTATCAGGGTTTAGGGTTTCTGATAGGCTCACCGACAACGGTTTGAGTTAAAGGGTTTGGATTTGTTAGGGTTAGGGATATTCGGGTTCAGAGCTTAGGGCTAGTAGTAGCGCAGCTGCAAAAAGGATTAGGGTCAACAAGGGTGTAGGGCTATTCGGGTCTAGGGTTGCTAGCAAGGTATTTTCCTCAACTACTACGGTTGAGAGTTAGTTAAGGGCTTGTCGAATTTAGCATTGAGGTTATTTTCAATCGGTTATTTAGGTCAAGGGTTGTTCGGGTTTTTGGGTGACCGAAGCAGAAGCTGTTGAATCCTGCTTGCTTGTAGTGGCGTTGCCTGTAACTTATTGGGTTCCTACCGGGTTCAAGGAATACCTTCTTCAAGGAAAAGCAGAGCTGGGCAGTTTGCGACTCTCATAAATACATTCTCCGACCCCAATCCGGCTTTTTGAAGGTTCTGATTACAAACCCTAGTTTGGAATCTATAGGGACCCTGCAAAAAGCAGGTTTTGGCAGGTTAAGGTATGTTGAGGAGACGCAGGAGCAACGAGTCAATGCTAATGCCAGGAAGTAGAATTGTCTTCAGTCATGATACAAGTTGTACAATTGCAGGGGTAGCTGGGTCGCAGGATGCAAGCCTCACAATCACAATCAAGCGGAAGTGTCGTGGGCGCTTGGGGTGACTATAGGAACCTCAGCAGTTGGTTATACTGATTTTCTGCAATCCTCATTGAACTCTGTCTCCAGGGTCCACTTTATCAAACAAGTCATTATTTTCCTGTTTTACTTACAAGCCCCGCATGCCATTTGGCTTTCATTCAGAGACGTCTCCGATCAAGTCGACGGTTGCTGAAGCTTTTCTCTGCGATGTTGTTGGCCACAGCACGGCTTTGTTCAGTCCTCCTTGCCTAGTTCGTGGTGGCCTTACATACTGTTGCGACTGCATCCAACGTTCTATCTCAGAGTATCCTTACTAACCTTGAACTTGAAATTTCTAATCCTTATAGGAACATTAACACGTCCTTTATAAGGTAATGCAGTATTTGTATCATCAAGGGTACGGCTCCAGTTCTAGATCCATATTCTCCAAGTTCCAAGTTCCTGGCCGAAGGATCCCATAAATTCAGTATTCAGTATTAGTAAAAAAGGGTCCCTTGTTTCCGACCTCCTCGTGTGTTGCAGTAAAGGTAAGCATAGGATGTAGAATGACACGGAAGCGCAGCTGTACATTTGTTCGAGTTTATTCGGGTACGTTGTAAGCTACGTATACTTGGAGGTTCATGGGTAGTTGTAAGGCGGGTTATAAGTCCCCCAATATGGGTTATAAGTATAGTTACTCTACTTCTAACCCTACTTATAACTACCCATGAACCTCCAAGTACAGATGCTACAGGTCGCATAGACATTCCATGAACCAACCTTTCAACTTTGAAGCCGCTGCTGCGCCGCCATGGCGGCGTCAACGGCAGCGCCAGGTGCAAAGCCCAACAGCTCTAGACGAAGAGGCTTGGAAATTGAAGTTTGTGGTCGGTTGTCCGAAACCAGGTGAGGGGCATGTGATGCAGGCCGGTCGGCTGCACTTCCGGTTTGCCGTAGCACTGCTGGTGCGACGGATCTTGCAAGGTGGTGGTCGCATCGACTGCCCACATGAAGGCTCGGCAGCCTAGTGTAGTGGCCTTAATAATTACCTATACTGTCTTGCGGGTTCCTGATTACAAGCATAGTATAATGGGCCCCAAAACCCTATTTTAATTCATCGACTGGAAGGTGGCAGCTGTGCAGAAGCTTCTGGCTGAGGCTCGGGTCCTACTCACCGCATCCGCTGCAACTTTTTAGACTAGTCCACGGTCTCCCTGTTTCTTTTTATATTGTTGTTCCTATAAAACCCAAGAGAATACAACAAACCACCATTTTTAATATGGTTCTAAGGGGGTGTATGGCATAGCAATCGGGGGAAACGAGCCCAGGAGCCCTCAAGCCCGCAAACCCTAAACCCTAAAGACCCTAAAGACCCTAAAAACCCTAGCCCCTAGAACCCCTAAATGGGGGCAAACGACCCAGAGACTCCAAGATCCCTTAATTAGGGAATATACCTTAAATCATATTAGGGATCCTACTATAACTTAAGGTCTATTCTTTAATTAAGGGATCTTGGAGTCTCTGGGGAGCCCAGCAGGCTGCCAGCGTTCAAGGAGTGAAGGCAGCGAGCGGCGTCAACGACCAGCCTTTCGGCCACGAGGCCGAGCCTCTTTTTGTTAGGGTTTAGGGTTTAGGGTTATAGGGTTTAGGGTTTAGGGTTTAGGGGTTTAGGGTTTAGGGTTTAGGGCTTAGGGTTTAGGGTTTAGGGTTTAGGGTTAGGATGTATCGTGCTTAAGGGATCATGGGACTTAGTAACTAGGGTTTTCGTTGGGGCAACTATACTTATAACCCCAATTAAGATACTTATAACCTTACTTACTAAGTCCCATGATCCTCCAAGTGAGTAGTTTGTAGTAACATCCATGATAGTGGTAATCTATAGAATACACATACAATTTTAGGTATATGTATATGTATATATTGATCTATGTATGTGTGTATATATATGTATGTATATGTATGCATATGCCGCTCTTCCAAAACGGCGGCAGCTGGTGCCAGCGGGCATGCTGCAGGAGACGATCCGGGGTGCCTTGAACCGACTTGCTGATGCTTCCAGCTTAGCTTCCTCGATGTCCTGCATGTGCTACGGACTGCTGCAGTGTTTGGCAAGCAAGTTGAAGGCCAAGCTGAAAGCACCATCCGCTGATTTGTACGTCTCCATGGAGAATGGGTTGTTTGAGGCTGGGGCACGACCCTACCCTAAACCCCTAAACTCTAGGGTCTAGATGTGCCGTGTACGGGACAGGTGCCTGGCGATGGCCACGAGATGCTGTGCCCCTCCCTTGGGTCTGACATGAGCCAGCGAGATGCCCCAAGAGCCAAGTTGCTTTAGGCTTTGATTTGGCTTGGGTTGCCATCGAGGACCTCCGTATTCATCATCAAGTGACTTTAGGATTTGGGTCTGAGTCGCCACTGCCCATAGGCTCCATAGTAGTTCCCTTTTCGGACTACCTTTATAGGATTCCAAATATGAACCCCAAACAGGAACTACTAAGGTTGATGATATAAATCCTGCATTACCTGAAGGACCCTAGACTATGGGAATTATGGTATATTCCTTATTGTGGGTCTTGCAGGGTTCATATCATCAACCGTACTATGGAGCCTTTGAGTAAAGATTCCTCTACCCCAAAATGGGCTATATAATGGGAATATAATAGCTATATTAAGGGTATATACCTAGGGTCCTTATTAAGGGGCCAAGAAACCAGTCGAATGTTGTACCCTATTTTGGGGTCCTTATAATAAGGATCCTAACATTTAGGGTACTTTTCTAGTGTCCCACCTTTTACCCTTGGATCTTGAGTGCACTGTCCGGAGGATGCCCGAGGGCAAAGATCCCTGGCTCACTCGGCAGGTGTGGAGGCCGGAGTTCTGGGTAGTTTAGGTTCCTTTAAAGAGGTCTATAAGGGCTACTATAAGGAAGTTTAGGTTCCTTTAAAGAGGTCTATAAGGGCTACTATAAGGAAGTTTAGGTTCCTTTAAAGAGGTCTATAAGGGCTACTATAACGAAGTTTAGGTTCCTTTAAAGAGGTCTATAAGAGCTAATACAAGGTAGTTTAGGTTACTTTAAAGAGGTCTATAAGAGCGACTATAAGGGCGAATACAAGGATGTAATGTAGGCGCCTTAGAACTTACCTATACTATTCTGCGGGGTTCCTTGTTATACTCATAGCATCATGGTCCCCAAAGCCCTATTCTAATTGTTGAGGCCCCTGTATGATGGGCATGGGATCGGCAATTGAGTAGCTGAGTAAGTTTAGCATCTTTGTGAAAGTAGTACGGAATGTTTGTAGAAGTCTGGCCGAATCGAAGGGAGGCTTTCTCACACATTTCTCATGGGGTTGCGGCTACATGATGTCACATTGACATCCGAAGCCCTTGTGAAAGATGCCCTAAACCCGAACATGTTTGCACTCCCTTGGCAGATGCCCGGCGTAGCAGTATCGGCTGCCAAAGCGAGCTGCTTCTCCAAAACCGCCGGAAGCGAGGCACGGATAATTCTGTCGCACTTGCGAATGCCAGCAATGCTCGCGGATTAGTTCAGAGATTTCGTTGCAGACCACACAGTCTAGACGCTGCAGGTTGCAAGAGTCGCAAATCAGTCGCCTTCGAGTGACCCCGTGGACCCTCAGGACTATTGCCTTCCCTGTTTGGCGCTTGCCCCCTGCCGCAGCACTGCATGCAATAACAATGTCAAGGATCCACACACCTACCTCACCAACGGCCTCTGCTCGCGGGAGGCCCGCAGATTTTTGTGCATTGGTACCGCCATGGTTGCATTCTGTGCGGCAGCGGATGAAATAGAATCATCTCGGCAGGAGCTGCTTCTGAGTGCCTTGCGAATAGCGCTGGGGCAGATGAAGTGTAAATCGACAGCCTCTGGAGGCGGCGGCATGTAGCTAGGCCTTTGGCCATAGCTATGTCGCAAGCAAAGCAGAGCCAAAAGAGATCCTCCTGCACTGCCTGTAGTCTCCATTGTAGTTCCTTTTTGCGCTTACCTTGTGGGATCCTAATTATATATTGGGTTAAACCCCAAAAAACGAACTACAATGGAGACTTTCGGTGGCTCTGTGACACAGCTGGAAGTCATGGGGAAGCACTTGGAGGTTCATGGGTAGTTATAAGTAGGGTAACTATACTTATTGACTTATAACGCATATTAGGGGACTTATAACCCCGCTTATAACTACCCATGAGCCTCCCAGCAGGGGGCAGCAGAGAAGCACCAGTCAGGCTGCTGAAGACTCAGCCAAGAAGCCTGCAGATGATGCGGCGGAGCCAGCGGGCAAGTCGGAAGCCCAAGTTTCTCACGGACCTTTAGCCATTTCTACTTAAAATCATCTTAGGGGAGTCCTACTTTCATTTAAGGAATATATAAGGAATATATATATATATATATATATATATATTCCTTCATTAAGGGATATTGGGGTCTCTGAGAGACCTGTTTGCCATCTGGAAAGCCTGGGGCGCGACAGGCCGACGACTCTCTTTCAAGCTCTCGGGGACCAGGCTCGAAACCGATAACCGAAGGCTACTTTAGCTTTTCCCATGGTCGGCGTGCGGCTGACAGGGCAACCGTGACGTCGCGAAGCATTTTGCCTCCTTCTCGGCGGCCTTAGCCGCGGTGCCCGTCCTTTGCCAAGCGACAAGCACGTGATTGCTGACAGCAAGGCGTGTATACGCATTCTTGAGGTTCTGGGCCTCTTTGCGACTGAGCACCGTGCTCAATGTGCCATGCACTTCCATCGCATCATCACATCTTGAGCATGTGAGATACGTTGGAACAACTCATGGCCATGCTTGTATGGATTCCGGTGTGTTCGCCCCTGAGGTGGGCATTGCGATCTTTCGTGGCGGAGGCTGGCACAAGGTGGATTTATGGAGGTGTCGTCGCCGCTGGAGCCTCGGTCTGCGGACAGAGGTAATGGCAGGAACGGCAATGTTGACAACAAGACGATTCCAACTTTCGTAGCCTAGATGGTCGTCATGATCGCCAGTCACGACAGTCGTGCCCCGCAAGCATATATTCTGCTACACTTTCGAGCATGGGCTCAGGTCGCGCTTGTCAACGTCGTCTTGATGGCATTTGTGGTATGGTGTTTCGCGGAGGGCTTCCCAGATGCAGACGGCCCAAGCCTTATTGCACCGAATGCTCATCATGGGAACTTCAGAAACCCCAAACCTAAATCCCTCACCCGCCCCCCCCACGTCCGTGAATCCTCCAAATCATGAACCTCGAAGAGTCCTAAACTCCAGGCCCCAAACCCAGACCTTGTAGTCTGCAGGAAGTTTCAAGGCATTTTGAAGCTTTTTCGCCATGTCCAAGCAACAAGGCAAGAGCCAAGAGAAACTTGTGACAGACCTTGCCTCTGGAGGCAGTTCCGCACAGGGATCCAAAGGGTGGTAGTTACTAAGTTATTACAAGGATCCTTGATCCCACCATCTTCATCCTACGGTTGATGATCTAAATCCTGCATTACCCAAATAATAAGGAATATACCATAGTTCCCATAGCGTATGGTCGTTAAGGTATTGCAAGAGTGATAACATCAGCCACACCACTTGAGTCCCCGGCCCGGCTTGATTTTCCGATAGCTGCAATCATGATATTCATGGGATCTCTCGCGCAGGCGCATGGCTGATCCACAACGAAAAATTGGTAAGCCCAACCCCTGAACCAGACATAAACCGAATTGATGGGCATTGATGACAGGTGCCAAGGGCGAAGCCACACTCGGCGACAGCGCCGGCAGCGAAACAAAGAAAAGCAAATAATGTGGAAAAAGCTGCTTGCATCTTGAGTTGAACAGAAGGGTGAAACCGCCCAGGCATGCACGGCCTGGAATGATGATAGGAATAACAGCACTAATATACATGAACACTAATAATTCATAGGTTCATAACGAAGAGCTCCAAGAATATAGTGATAGTAACATGAGTAGTCGTACTACATCAAGAACATGAATACTAACAAGCATAAGCCGAGAGTTGACCGATGGTGACTTGGAACGTCCGCAGCAGAACTTAAAATCCAGAGAGCATTCCTCGAAGCATTCGTTCAGTTTAGGGTTTACGGGTGTCGGGGTATAGGGTTTAGGGTTTAGCTTTCAGTAATTCTCTCCCTATAGGGCTCCAAGTATATTAAATATAGTATCTATTCTTTTGTTTAAAATCGATATACAGACCCTACTTTGGGCTCTTCGGAACTTGAGGGTGTGGGCTGGTGGCAGTCATTTTGGATTCACGTTTGTCTTAACGCGGTTGCCCACAAATAATCTCTCATCCTTAAAGAGATTTCGCGCATGGACTACGCATAGTCTCCATTGCAGTTTCTTTTATTGTGTAACCAAGCATGTAAGTAGGGTCCTACTATATGGCAACCCCCAAACGGAACTACAATGGAGACTGTAGGTATGAATCAAGCTGGGTCATCGCATCTCAGTGTAGTTCCTTTCTGGAGTTGTGGTTAGATTTGAAGGGGAGACTGATAAATAACCGGAGGGAAAACTTCAATGAGGATGCCCTCAGCCTCTTTCTTCCCCATGTTTCGCCGCTGAGGTGTTGCATGGCACACTGTTACTCAACAACCACTTGCACCATCTTGCGCCTCTGGTTTGCATAGGGAGTCTTGGGTCCCCAACTTTGATAAACAAGTCGCGGTGCTGTCCTGGGGGCCGCACTGCCACACTTCGATGGCCGCGAATTCCGCTAGCTCGCTGAGCTCTGCCGACGGCCCTGTCCGGCAATCTTACCTTTGGTTAGTAGGGAATGGAAGAATGGTAGTAGATGTAGTTACCATTGTACCCCATTCCTCCATTCCCTACTAACCACAGGTAAGCAATTGCCTCTGATGTGCCGCGAAGCTGCCTCTCGCAGCGTTTCCGCTGCCCATCGGTTTTCTTCGTTCACGTCGAAGAGTTGGGCCTGTCGTGCAGCGCAGATGTCAGCAAGGCGAGTCTCGTTCATGTGCTCGTCACCCGTGGTAGCGAGCCGCTGCCAGCGCGTAAAGGGTCGCCCAGCTGGAGAAAAGCCCAGGAGCGGCAAACAAGCGACCGAGTTTATAGGGTTGCGAGCACAGCAGCGGCGGGTTCAGTGAGCTAAACCGCCTGCGCCGGCGTAGACGCTTGTTGCAGCTCGCCCGGACGCGGTCCCACACATGCACGTGCTGCTCTGCCCGGAGTGGCTTCGTGGGAGCGTCCTGCGAGACTGCGAGGCTGAGGGTTCCGCGAGCATCTTGAGCCAATGACAAGTATTCCGCGACCGCAAAACTTGCTGCTTGCCACGCCAGCTGTGCAAGCGATTGCAAGAGTACCTTCGAGCACGAAATATGCCAAAATGCTTGCGTCGCAACGCGAGCACGTGGCCTCGCAGTCACGAGATTCCGCCAACTCGCCAACGCCAACCCTGGAAGTCCCGCCACTATGGCACTATGGCCGGTTTGCCCATTCGGAGGTGCGGCGCCTTCGGTTGGAGTCGTGGCTGTAGGTCAATGTGCTGTTGCTGTTGTTGCAGCTGCTGCAGTTGCAGCGGCAGTAGTAAATATTGGTATAACGGTGGTAGTCGTCGTCATCGCAGTCGTCGTCGTCGTCGTCTGTCGTAGCAGTAGCAGTAGCAGTACACCAAGAGCATCCAAGAGCAGCAGCACCAGCAGCAGCAGGAGTAGTAGTGGTAGTAGTACTAGTACTCTAGTAATGCTAGTACTACGTAGTAATTAGTAGTAGCTGCAGCAGACGCTGCAGCAGCCTAAAAGCTTGGTCGTAGTAGTAGTACAGTAGTAGTAGTAGTAGTAGTAGTAGTAGTAGTAGTAGTAGTAGTAGTAGTAGTAGTAGTAGTAGTAGTAGTAGTAGTAGTAGTAGTAGTAGTAGTAGTAGTAGTAGTAGTAGTAGTAGTAGTAGTAAGTAGTAGTCGTCGTCGTCATTGTCGTAGTGAAGTCGCGTCATAGTCGATTAGTCGTCGCAGCAATGGTAGTACGTCGTGTTGTTACAGGCCCCGCAGAGTATGGGCCATCCGGGCTGACAGTTCTGCGCGATTGGCACGACCACGCTGCGTGCTGCCAAGGATGGGCCGCACGCTTGACAGCACCAAATCGGAAGGCCGCCCATCTTTGCTTGACTTACGCGACGGCCTGCGGTCTGCATGATTATGCGACATGCCTGAACCTGGCGAGCGGTGCCCAAGATGGCAGCACCACGGCTTCCGCACTGGCTCTAAATTGCACACTTTCGCAAAACCCATTCCCAGCCATGTTGCCCAGTGGCATCCATGCGCCGCAAGTGTGGGGAGTGTCGCCGGGCTGCAGCGGAAGCACCGTGGCTGGTTGGAGACGTTGTTGCATGTGACTTGCCTCAGATCGGCATGCTGTTGATGCTCGTCGTGCTGACGTGGCGGCTGTGCCGTCACTTCGTCCGTGTTTTCGCTGAATGTCATTCCGGGCTGAATCTTGTCCAAATGATCGTATCTCACGTCGTGGGGCCCTGGTCTCGCTTGTGGGTTCCGAAGAAAGATCAATTTCACGTATCCTGTGCTTGCAGCCTGGACAACAAGGATTCGAAGAAGTTGTGGCCCTAGCACAAGACATCCAGAAGTTTGCTTTCAAGTACTGGCGAGAGCATGCGAGAGCGCGCTCGTCCACTGAAGACGCTACTCCCGTGACCGCAAAACAAGACGAGTCGTGTCCTGCACCTGCTCCTTGGGACTTCGCATGGTTTGGGTTGCCGAGATTGTTGAGGAACGGGGCCTGCTGCTTGCATGCTTCCACCCAAGATTTGGAAGGTGTTTTACTCCCACGGTGTGGGCCAGGGAAACCATCGGAAACGTGTTTCCATTTCCATAGTTCGTGAGTGGACATTGGCTCGGTGTGACATGTCTATGTGGACATTGTTGTACGACGATGATG